ACTGCCAAAAACCAAAATGAAGATAAATTGGCCCCCACAGTAGCAATAAGACAGAAGATGAATCCTTCTCTGCACTTGGAGGTTTCTCCTTCACTTCCCAGCACGCTCTTCATCCGCAGCCCTTTATCCCCTTTATTTCTGCATTTTCCGTGTTTTCCACTCCCTTTTTACTCCCACTGCGCGTCATGATGAATGTTATCTTGTTTGGTTTTAATGAAAATCTGATTTCTCATGTGTGCAGATAAACACGGCTGCCTGCGCGTGTCCAGAGACTCGAGCAGATCTGTGGAGTGATCCATTAACATTCTAATACGTTTCTTTTAAAAGGCGACATGTGTTGTCTTATTAAAGCCTGACTGATAGAGGAGGCTGAGGAAAATCAATAGGCAATGCACTAAGAGATGGTGAATGGTGCACCGAGGAGAGGAGAGCAGAATAAACATGCCCTTTTTAGCTATTCGGCCCCAAAGCACAGACAATAGATCCTCACATTTACCTGTTTCAGTGGTGCTTGAGGCCTATTAGAATCTGACATACACTCGGTGCAGTATTAACTGAACAGAGAGCCAATAAGTTGAGTAATGCTTACGGTCGGGGTGCATCCTGTTTCTGCCAGAGCTGCACACTTAAGTGAGGCGAGGCCACAGAAATCCATGTCCAATGGTTGTTCGTTTAAATAAATTTAACTAAATGTTGGAGGTTGGACAATTAGAGCAGCTCCCAATCAAACCAGTGCCTTTAATCGTCACACATCAAAGACCCCACTGGTTTTTTCAGTCTTATAAACAAAGATTACTGTTGGCTTTGTTTCCCTTTCAGCGCTTGTTGTGCATTTAGGTTTAATTTGTGGTAACAGAAATCAGCCCTCTGACAGTGGACACAACAGGAACAATAACAGCACCATCAGTTTTTCTTCCCCCTGCATCCCCCCTGCTGTGCGCCCTTTCTTTGATTTTTAACATGAGAACGAGGCCCCTGGGACGATAGCAGACAAAAACGCAGCATCAGAAAAATAGAAAAGTAATTTCTAGTTATATTTTTCCAGTTTCAGTCCAGCAGTGCCAACTAACAGTCGAATATACAGTGCCATGGAAAGTATGGAAAGTGCTTTGAATTCTCTGCAAGGTAAATGTTAAATAATGAAACAGCTCTGCTGCAGCAGCCAGCATTTGTCTGTAGCCCTAAGTTGACTTTCTTACTGAAAATAAATTCTGCTTGGCAACAATCAGTCACATCATGATGTCACAGTCCCTGACAAAACATAAAACCAGCAGGAAAATCATGCACAACCAAACTGAAACTAAGGAACTGAGACCTGAATATCTGCACAAGCAAATTGCATCAGACACAGAACAGGTTTTTAGTTGCTGTTCTTCCCATTTTGAGGAAATCTGAAAAACACATTTTAAATCGTGTTCATAGATACGATGAAAGATGGCTGCAGGTGTAGAACCTACTGGAGGGACGCAGCTGAAACAAGTAAGCTCTTTGGTAAATACGTAACCCACAACACCACAAAAACATTGAAACTGAAGGAGAGGCTCAGAGGGCCAATGACAGCTGCAGCTCTCTGGAAGTGAGGGAGGAAAACCTGGCAGAAAGTCAAAAGAAGGTACAACAGGTGTGTGGCATTTAACAATGAAACAGCAGGTGTGGTAGGTTTTCTTCTTCTTCTTCTCCTTGGTTTTATCTGTTGGTTACCAAAGCACTTTAAAGATCTATTAAGATCGCCATCTGGACTGGAGTGTTAAATGGAAGAGAAAACTGGGAACCAGGCCATTACGCTAGGATTTGTGGCGACTGCTCTGGGCAGGTGCAGCTGGACTTAAACAATATTTTACAAGAGTTGCATTTGATGTTCCGTTCAATACAAACTGCACTCAATGAATGATGTAAGTGTGTGAACAGGTTTAGTGTTTGTATTCAGAAATGTATATGTAGGTCAGCTTGTAAAAATAACTAAATCGCAATATTAGATCTTAAAAGGACTTGAGTGTGTGAGTTGGGCCAGGCAGATGAATTATTTTCAAATGAGCCTGCAGGGACTGCTCACTCAGTGCACCAGAGGAAGGTTTCATCTTTTACTAATGCGCTGTCAGGTTAACGTAAAAAAATACTGCTTTAACTGCAATATTTTACTAAGAATAATTTGCTTCTTGTGTATAACGACAATTCAAAAAAGTTTAGATGATATGTTAGGGGTTGCAGTCAGACTGATTGAATTAAAATGAACATCCTTTTTGTATTCATATCAGTTCTGCACCCAGTTAATCCTTGAAGGGCCGCAGGTCGACTGGCAGTCAAGTGCTGCTGCATTTACGCTGGTGATTTTATTCAGATGAATCAACTTAATTTTACCTAAAGGGAAATTTTCTTTCCAACAATGAGGACAAAAACCATGACAACAACCTTAAGTAGGAATCTGAAAACTATCATCCAGCATACATTGAATTTTACAAAAAGAAACCATAACTTACTCATCTTATTGGATCTGCTCTTAGATTTAGCTCTGGTAAGATATGGCAACTTTCTAAAACCTACACATTTGTTTTTGTGGCATTTAATGTTAAAGGGACAGTACCATTGGTTTTAGAGAAACGGAATCATTTTATAGCACGGTCAAGTAAGTGTGTTACCTTAAGTTGTGATAAAAAATGTTGCATATTCCTATATGACTTAAATTTTAAATTTAATGTATTGGAATTGGGCCTCTGTCTCTTTAAGAAAGTCCTGCTTTTTCCAACACTCCGCCTTTAGGAAGTCGTCACATCGATGGCATTTAGATTTATCTGGTGGTTCCATGTTCTCCCTGTGCTTGCCTGAGTTCTCTCTGGGTGCTCCAGCTTCCTCCTATAGTCCAAAAGCATGACTCTTTGGTCAATTTGTTTATCTCTAAGTTGCTCTTTGGTGAGTGTGTGAATCCATGGTTGTCTATCCTGTCTCTGTGTTTCCCTGGAATGGAGTAGCAACATGTTTACCACGCTTCTCGCTCAATGACTGCTGGAAACAGGCAGCAGCACCCCACTGCGATTCTGCAAGGACAAGCAGGCATAGACAATGGATGGATGGATGGCAGATCCATATTGATTATTTTGTCTTTGAAAAATAACACAACCAAGTATTTTTGCTAACACCACTGCAGACCGCTACTCACCATCCAGCAGAGCAGCATCAATATTCGACGTGACACAATTACTACTTGGGCTCTAGAAGCCGTCTCTCTGGTGTTTTATAGAAAATGCTGTCTCTCCATGTACGGCTGTGCTGATTAAGGTTAATAATTTGCACGTTTTCTGACACCATAATGCTGTATAATGTCCTTGGTAATTTTGTGCTTAAGAAGTTTCATCAATGTTTTATGGAGCATGTATTTGATTTGTTTTTGACAGGGATAATAATATGCTCCCTCTACTTAGTGTGCACCTTCCTTCCTTCCAGCACCAAATACACTGGAGATTGTTATGTAGATATCTACTGTAACAGTTTCACTGGCATCATTACAGATTTCCTCCCATGTTGTCTGTCAATATGTCAAGTTTGACAGGCCACAAGTAAAACCTACTGAGGTAACCAAAGAGAGCAAAGACTGAACCAAACAGAATTAATAAAAAATAATAATATAACTCAAAACAAACAGAAGCAGGAAAAATGTAAGCGAGGCGATTGCAGCTGTCCATACATAAGAAGGTAAAAGACACTGTGTTCTGGGAAAAAATATGCTATATGTCCTGTAGCACATACAGAATAAAACATGTAAGACGAGTGTGCAGATAGATCATTATTATTCAGCTGTGCTGTCTCGCCTGCTGGGGACACAATAAATGTCTGTCAGCATCCAGATCCATCTACTCCACATTAAAAATGAATTTGACATCCATCCCCTCAATCCTTGCTTTGCCACTCCTCCTCCTTTCAAACGATCTGCAGAGAACAGGCCATTGATTTCTCATCATGTGTTGTCATGTCAGGTTACAACGTCCTCTGTTACTGCACTGCGGCTGAGGTCCAGGCTCTGGTTACACTACACTATTCTTGCTCAAAGTCTTAAAAAAAAAAAAAACGAGCCAGTAGGGAATACTTACATTCTTAAACGATGGTAAAGGTGTACATAATTAACACTTTAGCTGAAACCCACTGGATGTGAACTTCAACCTACAGAACTGTTCTTTCGCAGGTCACTGAAAATCTGCCTGTAGAATTAGAGATTTAGTCAAAATAAGACCTTATCCATGCAGGTCGTGGCCTTTTTTCTCAAAATATTAAGACTCTGTGACAATGCCTTTCACTTATAATTCAGAGCAAAGAGTTTTTTTAAGGTTGAAAATATTATTGCGATTTAAAAATCTAGAAAGCTTTGCAAAACATCTATGAGTGAGAATTGTAATACAGATTGTTGACTGTTGAACTTTGAATGTGAATGTTTTTAATGATGACGTCTTTCTTGTGACTGAAGGCTAAAATGTCACTCATAATAAGGCTCTCATGGGTAAAGAGATGTTTTTTATGGATTCATGAAAATCTTCAAGGCTCAACTCTGACTATGCTTGTGATTTTCCAAGTAGGCATCTGGTTGGTTGACCAACTCTAGAGCTGGAGTCAAAAGACTCTAGTGATTGGTCAGACAGATCTATCCTTGATCTAAAAAAGGAATTAGTCGCTAATTTCCTAGTTTGGCAGCGTTTAATATTCTGTTCAGCAGATTCCTACTTGTCATTTATTTTGTGAAAGGTTTGCATGAATTAATTCTGCTGTTCAGCTGTTTCAAGTTGCGTTTCCCTTCGTATTAGCAACCTTGAGTCAGGGAACTAATATTTAGGTGGATTTTTGTGTGTGAGTGTGAGATCTTTTTCTGAACAGAAGATCTCTGCTGGCGGTGTGTTTCACCTGCTTCTGTCTGCACACCTGGCAGCAATTATCTCATCAGGCTTTGGATATTTAAGAAGCAGTTGGGTTACCTGATGTATTGGAGGACAAATCAGCCAGCAAACAACAAGGTTAGGTGATTTCTGATGGATTCTTTAATTAAATATATTTTTTTTTCCCCCTTCCTGCCAATTCTACGGATCTACCTTTCAGTTTAGTGGCAATACCCTTAAATTACTCTGCCAACTGCCAGTAAAATCAAAAGAAGACTTTGTGTGATCAACTTCTTTGGTAAATTATTTCTGAGTTTAAGGTAATTTGAAGTACATTTGTAGTGAAAGTAATGTATGCTTATTAAGCTAACCTCACCTTCTGTGTGCCAGGTTAGTGCTTCTGCTGATCTGTTCTCCAAGAGAGTCCACACATCCACTGTGCCACTATGGGGCAGCAGCCAAAGTAGAGGGACTTCCTTCTCCCCCAGCAACTTGGGAAAGGGCAAATGGGTCCTAGGTGAGGGCTCAGACAAAGTGCAGCCCGAAGACTCCTTTCATTTGCCACAATGGCAATCAATTTGTGGCAAATGGACCTGCATCTGTCCCCTTGCCTGGATGTGGTTTCACCATGGCCCCTCTCTGGAGCCAGGCCTGGAGGTGAGGCATGTTGGTGAGTGCCTGGGTTTCCCACATGGAGCCTGGGCAGCCACAGCCCAAAGAAAAGATGTGGGTTCCTCTTCCATGGGCTAATCACCTGTGGGTGGGTCCAAAGAGGAAGGGTGCAATGTGGGATCGGTGGTGGCCAATGGAGAGGACTTTGGTGGTCTGATCCTTCACGATGGAAGCGCCAAGATCTCTCTAACATCCCACTGTTGCTCCTTGCTGCTCAATTATGTCTGGTCATCATTCACTTTCCTGCTCCAATCTCCTTGGTCTGTGCTTGGGTATCGCCAACTTCCAACTAGAATCTTTCTGGAACATGACTTGTGCTGAAGGCTCTCCTCCTTCCCCTCAACATAAGCCTTCAACCTCTGGAGCCATCTCTGTGCACATTCTTGTAAATAAACTTCACTAAACTTTGTGTGAGTCATAAAAATCCCTGGTATCATGGTTCCTTGTTCCAACATGAGCTGAAGGTGGGTTTTGTTACAATCAGCCAGTGTTTGTTTAGTTGAATAGTCGGCACCACCTGCCTGCTTCAATGTGAACCCAGATACTTTTACAAAATGAGGCACAACTTCATTCAAGAGAATAACCAGTTTAGTTGGTGCTAATCGGACCTTGTGGTGCCCTCTACTTTCTGGGTTGGCTGTGTAGTTCTGTTGACGTTTAACAGCTTAAAGACCGTCATTTGTTTTTTTCCCCTTTTGAGAAAAGTAATCGGGTAACTGTATACATTCAATTCGATCCAATGTGAAGGCTATGTTAAACTTTACACATTATGAGATTGCAAACCACGCATGTCTAGCTCTGGCAAATGACCTTGTAACCCTGCACAGAGTGTCAAAATGCTGACTCTGTTACTATGGCCTCTAAGGGTGTTTTCACACCTGATGGTCCAGTGGATTCTGTTCAATTGGGGAAAAATATTGCAACATTTATATTTTCAGCTGGTGTGGTTTGCTTTCACATGGTGCTGTCAAAGAATACACAGACTACAGAAGGACATGAGAAAATGTCTGAACAAGATGCTGAGCACAACTTCCTCCTTGAAATGTTAAAGGAATGGCATCAGATTTCAGTGGTTGTAGGATTTCTCTTTTGTCTTTAGCAATTGTACCAAACTAATACTTTTTATGAGCAGAAGATGATATTGAAGACCCCGGAGAATGTTATTTTTCACATATGGCAGCTAAGTTGGCTTATTTTACCAAATGGTAAAAACTAACAACCTCTCTTTTTGATTCCGAATCCCAACATTGTGCAGCAACGTCCTCTTTCATGAAGATGTAAAGAGATTAAAGTATTAATTTTCAAGAAGCCATGAGACTGATCTATAAACATCAATATAATCTAATGTAGTTTGAACATAATTAGATTAGCATTGTGCTGCTGAAATATGTATGTAGTGTTAATGAATAAAGCAGACGGTTGGTGAAGAATCTTTTGATTTTGCTGGATCAAGTGTGTGTTCAGAGATTAAATCTCTAAACTATCTGCAGTCTGTTGATATAAACATAAAACTGCCAGTTTTTTAGGAAGGTTTCATGTGGTTCTGTCAGTAGGTTTGATCTTTCTGACACCACAAAGGAGCAGTCTGAAGGAAGTTTATCAGTGCCTCGCCGACATCTGGCCTGACAGAAACATGAGGCCCTGCGCTATGATTCCTCTTTAATCATTGCACCACATGTCTCTAGCGTATTTTCAGAGCACCAGTTGCTCTGTAAAACAAAATAAATAAATTTGAAATCACAAATTAACTTATTTATAAAACGGTTAAAATTAAAAGTTACTCTTTGTGAAGAAAGGAAGTTTTGTTTTTCTAACAGTTCTTTACAAAACAATCTTTCCATCAGAATTACAAGAAATAGATTTTCTACAAATCAATACGAATGTTGCTAGTTTGCCTATTGGCTGCCTTGAGCTGTTCTGTGGATGAAGGACAACTTTCTAACAATAGTATTTTTATAAAAGAACCTTGGTTTAAAGCATATTTTCTCCCAGATACCATAGCTACAGAAGCTCCAGCAAGCATGTGAGTCACATTAATTGTATTTGTAATGATTTATTTCTGAGTTCCCATCACACTGTACCACTGCTTCTTGTCAGTGTGTTTTGTTTTTAAAGCAATTTAGCTTTCTAGTTTTAAATGACACAACATATTTCATTTCTCTGTAAGGTTAATTTGTATACCTTAAATTTAGCATAGCTCTGCAAAATATGTTGCACACAGTAATGCCATCATGGTCTTATATGAATAGCAAAGATGAACTTTCTCAGAATGAAGACTTCTTGAATAGCAGATTCACATATGACCATACGTTATTCTTTACACTTTGCATAGTAGAGAAAGTTCAACAGCGAGCTACAAGAATATGACTTTCTGAACTTCATATTTTTTTCTGCAAACACAAAATCAGACAAGGGCGTTTGTTGTCTAAGCAAAGAAAATCTCTACAGGCAGAGAGAGAATGTGCTGAACATAGTGTTAGGGGTAAAAGTATACACAGCATATAACTACAACATTTATATATGTATGTATGTGTAAACTTTTAATAAAAACTAAATTAAAATCACATGTGACTAAGTTTATTAAAAATGTGCCGCCACATCCTCCTCCTACCACTTCCTGTCATCTTCTACATCTTTTTTATCACCAGAAAATGAATGGACTGAACTTATGCAGCACTTTTCCAGTCATTTTGACACTCAAAGCGTTTTACACGAGAGCCACATTCATCCATTCACACTCACCAACGCTCACACATTTATACACCGATACGCAGTAATGACAGCCGGTTATTGATCACATGACTCGTGTTATGCAAGAAAATTGTTTTGCGAAATACATTAATTTCAATAAAACTACTTCATCATAGCAACAAAACCTTTGATTAAAAAATGTGTTTTTTTCAAAATTGTTGTGTTTCTATTAAGCATATTTATTTTGTAATTCCAATTTGCACAATTTTAAGGTAAATGGAAACTCAGCTACTGTCTGTTTGTCTATCCATCACATATTCAGGTTTTAGCTGCACTACTGTGAGTAGCTGTGAAAACAATAATGACAGCACCATCTGTTATACCACATGCACTTTGTCGTCAGAAAGGCTTGGCTCCAAAGGCTCTTTGTGTTTCAGAAAATAGTGCAATTAAATTAATGATCTCCTTTAAAACACATTGAAAAATTCCAATTGCATTCATTTAATTTTATACTTTGAAGATATTCAGGATTTCCGGCTCCCGTTCTATTAAATTTAGCCTTTCAAGTGCCTGACTGTGGGATAATCCATTACACTGACTGTATAAAGGCTACATAATAACCTGTGGTTGAATTGCATGAGCCCTTTAAAATTATTCTAATGAATCTTTTCCACCTGCTGACTTCATGCTAACATGAAAGTCAGCCTGAAATATTTTAGCTGTAGCAGTTTAGACTGTGATTGTGTTAGCACATATATTTGTTCGAGTTGGCACTGATGCTTTACAGCAGAAAGGTTTTTGGTTCAAATCCCAGTTTCTCAGAATGGAATCCAAGAGATGCATGTTAAGTTAATTGTTTCCTCGTAGGTGTAAGTTGTCTGTGCTGCTTGTTACTCTGTGATGGATTCCCAAACTGTCCAGAGTCTCTCCTGTTATAATGCTGGAGATGAATCCCACCCCCCTCTGTGACATAATAAAGAAGCGAAAGAAAACATTAAACAGTTTCTGTTTGATAACATTTTTACAGTTTTAAGAGTTCAAGAGTTTATTGCATAACATATTATGTAAAATGTTTTTTTTTACTGCTTTTTAAATAGCCAAAGAAAATACGTGAAGTTAAAGGAAACATAATTAAAAATTAAAATAAACGCAATCATTAAATCTGCAAATGGGCAATTGCGGCATAAATCATGGATTAAACAACACATGCTGAGAATAACATCATGGGGCAATTTGCACAGTCTAACACTAAGCCAGCCTGGAAATATCATTTCTGGACTCTTCTTTGAAAATGAACTACTCAGTATTTTGAAAACCTTAATTTATTTATTGTTCAAACTTAGATGTGCTATAGAAATACTGCGCTATGACAGTGTGAGACTAAAAACACATGCAGTTTAGAGGATGCATAAAAAAATAAAACACAGTTACATTCAGCTCACACTTGGGAAAACACAGCTTGTAATATGATCAAGCAGAATTTCTGCAAACTACAAGTTATAGAGAGTATCAAAAGTTTTACTTGAAAAGAGTGGATCAAATCAAGAAATGAGAAGAACTTGAGGATATAAAACGAGTTCTTTGGCACTGGTTTCATCCTAGCTACCATTGAGAACCTCAGGCAGGCTGGTGAGAAATGAGAGCTTCAACTCAGGGCTGAATGTTGTTTCCTCCAGGGGTCTCCACTGTTGTGTCGGTGAGTTTTTGTGTCAGTGAGTTCATCCTAAACAGAGGATCTCTGCTGGAGGCGTGGCTGGTCTCCTGGATACTACCTGCAATCCTTATTACTCTGCTGGGGATTGAAGGAGCTGTAGGATGACGATTCAGCATCTAAAGATCCCTGTGTTTTCGGTCTCTAATGACTGCAAATATTTGAAAGAAAGTTTATGTTACACTTACTCTGCTCAGGTTTACCTCACATTTCCTCCCCTGGTTGAAGTTACCACTCTGACTCTGGATTACTTCGTCAGTTCTCCTTGTGACAGAACCTTCTGGAAACTTCCCTCAAGGCAACGTTGTTCACTGCATTTCCTCATCTCCAACAGGCTGACCTCTGGTCTGCCTACACACCGATCTTGGTTTGGTTGAAGTGAACTCTGGCTCGTTCAGGAAGCAAACTATAGCGCAGGGCATTCTGGGTAAAAGAAATGCATGAAAATGAAATGCAAGGGAAATGGCTTGTGGTCTGTTGCCAAAGGCTAAAGAGACGTCCCACGTCCTGAATTCTGACTCTAATACAATTTTACTTACATTTTACAAAGAAGGAAGTTGTGCTCATGTCTTCTGAGGTTTTTATGTTTTTTCCTTGAGTGGTTCTTGCTGCATCGCCACCACAGGCGAGGAAGGGAACAACTTTTTCAAAGAGTTTGAATCTTTTATCACAGTCCAATGTGAAAGCGAACTGCACCAGCTGAAACTGTAACATATGTTGCAATTTTGGTCCCCCATCAAACCGAGTCTACCGCACTCAGTTAGGAAAACAACCCAAGTTCGTATTTGTTCTCCAGATATTGTTGAACCATGAACTCTGAAAATCCCACCTTGATCACATTTTTCTTCTCTGTGCATATAGTGAATAAATGCCTTTAACTTTTTCATGTCACATTCTGTGACTCTGCATGTAGGCCAGACGATTACAGCCAAACATGACATCAGTAGCAACGTCTCAGAGTAATATTACTCCTGGATATGGTGGGAAAGACTATCCACATCATGGATGAACCAAAC